TAAACTTGAATAATCTTCAGTAATATGCATAATTAATTTTAAAAATGATATTACCTTTAGATCTTTTTCTTTGAAGGGCAATTTGATTACAAAATTTAAATCATATTCTTCTGGTTGGCCAACTCGAGTTCCTTTATAATAACTACCAGCCCATTCAATTTTTCGAAATGTTTTATCAAACAGTGGACATTGGTTTCGCATAGCCTTTTCTAATTCCTTAAAAAGCTGCAGCATATATTATAATATACAAGAAATATCAACGTAATTTAGGATATAATTTCAATGAAATAAAAAAATTTTTATAATACCGATTGCAAGAGCTCATTATTACGCTTTTTGTCATCCGAAGATATACTTATAAATAGGCTGTTTATTTTCGTGAATATGGTATCATTGGACAGATACTTATGAATATCTTCAACTTGCGTCATCGTGTAGTTTGCTGTGTAAATTTTCAAAATTTAAAATTATTTTAAAATTATATTTGTTAAAAAATTATTGTTGGCGATCTTGCTGAGCGCACGAAGAAATCGTAATGGCGTGGCCAGGCGATCACCGTCCGAGCGTTTCCCGCGGTATTAATTCTTCGAGGGCACTCGGTTGAGAAAAATGAAATCTTCTCTGCTTTCCAAAATTTTTTATTAAATAGGCGCGGGCGAACGTGTTTACAGCAGATACGGAAAGGATCTTAGCAGTAGCGCGGCAAAAACTTTCCACGAGACGAGACGCGTGCAGAAGACGAAAATAACAGTTTGTTTTTTTATCAAGACGATCTGATATTATTTTTTTTTAATCGATTACGCGTGATGCAATCGATGAATCTACGAGATGTCGTTTAGCAATCGACATCTCGTGGATTCATCGATTTTTCATAGATGCGATTAGGCGATATAACTAGACGTCGTGAATCAGGGATACCGAACAATTATTGTTAAAAGTAATACAGCAGGATAAAATATAATGTATAACAAATTAAATAAAACTTTTTAGAGCCGACACAGGTTATTAATGTGTAAATATGTATACTTTATTTAAAAACTAAAACATATAAATTCGATCTTGTTTTGAATTCTCTTCAATATAAACTAATAATTAAATCTTACACCAAGAAAACATAATTATTGAAATAAGTAAAATATGAAGAAATATATGATCATACGTTGAAATTAAACTGGTCAATTATTTTTTACGTCCACATCTTGTCAACAATTGTTCATTAAATTCCAATTAATTAAATAAATAAATAGTAATCAATAAATCTGTGGTTAAATTCAATATTAAATAAAATGTGCACTTATATGAACAATGAATAAGTCGAACAATGCTTTTTACTGTACACCAAAAAAACTGTGGTTTATTGCATCATACAACAGATTGATTTGAAATAATAATTAAAATCTCCTGACCGAAATGTTTATGTTTTAATTTTTAAATAAAGTATATATATA